TGCGTGGCCAGCGGCGCATCCCCGGGCCGGCCGCTCCTGTGCGGTTCTGTCCGTGCTCGTTAGGGCGCGGAGAAGGGATGAGGCAGCGCTGCCCGTTCCCCTTTTCCCCCCTCTCACTAGTGACCAGAGTTTCCACCATCCAGGTCCAGGTCCGACGAAACAGTGGAAACTAAGAAAATCTGACACTGCCATCGATTCGCGCTCTTTGTTCTCATGTCATCTGTACGCGCTAGAGAGAAAGAAATATGACTTAAAAACTGCAGTTAAGCAGCCTTAAAGCAAGTTTCCGTCATTGGGTATTTATTCCTATCAAATCTCATTGCTTCTCTAAAAAAGCATATCTAATTTTAAAATAAAACAGATGAAGTAAAATACTTCTCCTCCTTCTAAAATAAGACTTGCTGAAATTGCGACTGCATGTGCCTAAGTAGTCTTCTTATGGTTTCCCCACAGATTTTGGTCAGGTCTCGAAAGAACGGCAAGTTTCCCTAATGTTTTAAAAGTATTAACTTCCTTTCAAACATTCCTTAACCTTTAATGTTTTGTAACTTGATGAAAAGGTCACTTTGTTCAGAGTGGGTGCATCTGCTCCATAATTGTTCTAATATCAGGCAGAGCTCCATCCTAACACTGAATTCTTTTGCGAGGATTTTTTTTCTTAATATACTATTGTTGAGGTTACCATGAGTAATTGTTTTAAAGGCAGAGAACTATAGACCAAAGGATGCTCACACTTTATTTAATTTCACCAACTTCAGATGTTTAGAGCTGTACTCAGCAGATGACACGAGCTGAGCTCTGAGAAGAATAACCTGAACGGTTTCACCTCTTCCTGTTCATAGGGGCCTTAGGCAGAGGAGGAGTAGAATAAATAGCTGAATTTAGAGACCAAGCTGCCTGACAAAGTAGCACAAAGTACTAATTAATAATACTTTATACCTACCGTAAGTTTTTCCTGAGTATCCCAAAATACTTGGCAAAGAACTGTGCAAGAAAGCTGAGACACAGATGGGTGAAGACCTAACTAAGAGCAGAGTGAAGCCAGAGAGCCAGAAACCATTAGATGGTGGTGTCTGAAGAATGAGACTCTAAAAGCAACATGGTGGTAAGAAATGTTACTAATGTAATTGTGAAGGCTGTAGAAACTTTTCAGCACCTGTAAATTACTATTTATTATTAGGAACAATAACATTTTCAATCTGAGTATTTAGTCAGCGTTGATGTAGAGAACTCATGTTCACTTCCACATAAAGATGTGGAGGTACAGACGCTGCTTCCCACACGTGGGATGAGAACGCACCCCAGCGGGGCAGGTCCTGGTCCCAGACACGCGGGCAAACGTCACCTGCATCACTCGTGTGAGGCGCAGCAGTTGCTTTGCGAGCAGCATGGTGATACCTCACTATATCCAACTGTAATTGATACAATTAATCCCTCTAAAATACAGCAGAATTTTCTCATTCTTACACAATTCAAACATCCAGAGAATATGCTTAATTAAGATTTGGCTATACATTTTTTTAAGATAAAAAAATAAAGAAATGAGCTAATTATGTTGCTTAGTATTCAAATATATACATATTTTTTAATAACACACTTTTTTAACCAGGCCAGTCCCTTGAGGACCTGTTCCTCATTTATAAGGGGGTCCCCAAAGGGAGTTAAAAGGAGGCTATCTTACAAGAAGAAAATATATTCTGAAAAAGGAGCCATACCAAGATAACCGTGCATTACATATATCAGTATGGAGGCTGGAATATGTATTCCGATGATGCAAATCTTCCCCTGCAATAATTTGCTCGTTAGTGTTAACAAAAACTCAGCTACAGATGTCTATGTATTTGTTCTTGTATTTTTCACCACGCTAATGCTTTTAACTAAAATTGTTTTAAAAATTTGCTTTATTTAATGAATTTAAAGGTCAATCCTCTTCCTTTCCATATGCAAATCCTATTAATAGTAGAGGTTTGATATTAATGGGAGCTAATAGACTAGATACTCCCTTCCCACAGCAGCCCCACATGAGAACAAAATAATCTCAAGATAATTCCACTCAATTTGTTGCTTCTTTTTCCCCTTCAAGTAATCACACATCAGGGTAAGAGTACCTTGGGAGCAGGACGCAGAAGAAGAGGCATCGGGGCGAGCCACACGGGGCCTCCAGCCTTGTAGAGAAGGAGGAGCACCCCAGGGCTGCTGATTTGGGCCCCTTTGGAGGGCGGATATTCCCCACCTGGGAGACCCCAGTGGCCACCTGGAGAGCACAGGGGGGTTTCCAGGGGCTGCTGGAGCTGGTCGGGGTGGAAGTGAACTTACTACTTCTCCCCATTTCTGCTAGTTGTAGAGTCATTAACTGTTTGTCACCATCTTTATACCCGAATTTTCTGTAGCAGGACTCTGGGAGTTTTTGATAGTACTTTTTATTTTTTTTAACTACAGCCGTTGTTGCTAAAACAACAAGAGGTCTCTGCCTAGGAAGAGGGAGGTGGAGAACAGAGGGATAAGCTCATTGCTTTCATCTGCTGCCCCAACAGGCGAGCGCTCCCCGCGCTGATGAGGGAGAAACAAACCTGCCTAGCCTAACTTATGCAATAATGAACATTATTCACAGTGTCTTTTAAGCCGATGGGTCTAGATATCGAACAGCAAAGCACCGCTAGTCCACACTGGGCTCATCCGTGGTGGGGAGCAAGGAACGCCCCGGACAGCCCGGACAAAGGCCAGGCTCGAGCGCTGCTCCTGCGGACAGGCCTGTTTCATTAACT